GCCCGCCACAACGCCTGGCTATTTTTTGATTGCAGCCATCATTGTTGTTTGGCGGGCCCAGGCTGGGGATTCGAACCCACCACCTTAGGGTACGTGGCTGGCACCTTAGCCGCTTGAGCCACAGGTGCTGAGCCAGTTTTTCTATTTTTAGTAGAGATAGAGTCTTGCTGCTGTTGCTCAGGTAGTCTCAAACTCTTCAGCTCAGGCAGCCCACCCACCTCGGCCTCCCAGCATGCTAGGATCACAGGCGTGAGCCACCACACCTGGCCAATGCCTGTGTTCTTTATCTGATGAAAATTTACCTTTTTAAATTTACATGTTGTTCTCATTACATTTGAGGCAATGTTAAGTCATACATGAGTTGTCTTTCAACAGATTACCCTTCAAACGGACTGTTTTGACTCTGGTGTGCTTTCTGCCATAGAAACAATGTGAAAAGATTCCCAGGGCAATAGTCATAACGTTAGCTCTAAGGTTAGCTCTCCTAGGCCTCCCATGGAGTCGGCCAGATGTGGTTATATCCTGACCTGTGCAATCAGCCGTCAGTAAGACCATTTCCAATGAGAATACATATTTTCTGGCATGCAGCAAGACATGAATCAGGAAATACAGTTCCTTGTTCTCCTCCCCAAACTGGAAGTTGACACTGTCACAGTTATTGGGAGATGGTGCTTGTTATTTTCTGTTTGTCTGAACTCCAAAAGGATCCAGCTTTTATACATTACATGGTAAAGCTCATTATTCACACACAGAGGGCAAAGAATGTTCATTGGTCAAAGAATGCTGGGAACATCAAATCATAATCAGTCAAGTTGTTGTATCCTTTAAAAGTCACCCGCTGCCCAGGTGTCCTGCATATGGCAAAGCCTCATTAAATTTTCATTAGTTTCTAATTTGGTTATTTCCAGCCTACCTCATGAAGTATTTTGTTAGGTGCTGTGGATCAATTCCTGTCCTGGAACTTGGACGCTAGTGAACATTAAGAATATGTGTATCTTGAAACAGAGGAAATAAACGTTTTTGGTAGAGAAGGGACACATGTTTAACTTATGTACTGTGAGAGAGATGGTGTTGGTTATCAAAAAACTTAAAATTATATCTACTTGCTAAGAATACAGACTAAAAGATCTTTATTTGAAAAAATTTTTTAGAAATTATTTCAATGTATGTCAAGTTTTCTTCAACTGATTTCCTCGATATTTTACTCTAAAATTGAAACAGTTTTCAGAAAAAAATTAACAAAGATTTTAAAAATAGTCTTAAATTTTCCTCCTAGTAATTTTTCTCAAACTTTTGGTATCTGTGAATACTTTATAAAATAGTAACTAAAATAGCAAAAATTTTCCATGTAATAATTTTCTTTTCTTTTTTTTTTGAGACAGAGCCTCAAGCTATCCCCCTGGTAAAGTGCCGTGGCATCACAGTCCACAGCAACCTCTAACTCCTGGGTTCAAGCGAGTTTCCTGCCTCCACCTCCCAGGTAGCTGGGACCACAGATGCCCACCACAAGGCCCAGCTAGTTTTTGGTTGCAGCCATTACCGTTGTTTGGTGGGCTCAGGCTGGATTTGAACCCGCCACCTTAGGTGTATGTGGCTGGCGCCTTAGCCACTTGAGCCACAGGTGCCAAGCCAATTTTTGATTTAATTTATTAACTGCTAACATTTCATGTTGTTTCTCAAAGACCACTAAACTTCCTGGTATCTTGCCTTGTGTACAGATCGAGAACTCTGTTGTAGGTATTTAACAATTTTAAAGAAGGCATTTAAAGTATTCCTCAATTCATGCCTGGTGTGGTGGCTCACACCTGTAATCCCAGCACTCTGGGAGGCAGACCCCACCTCTAAAAATAGCTGGGCTTTGTGGTACTTGCCTGTAGTCCTAGCTATTGTGAGCTATGATACCATGGCACTCTATTGAGGGTGACAAAGTGAAACTCTGTCTCAAAAAAAAAGGATTCCTCAATTCAGAATTTTATGCCATTAAGATAGACAATAAATCCTAATTTTGTCTTTCAGAAGAAATAATATTTTATTAATTTTTCTGGCCAACAGTTATTTATTAAAACTGTTTAATTGATAATTATTTTTTCTTTTAGCAAGTGGCAACAGTAGAATGTTGAATATGGTTTCCACTGCTGGTTCTACATGGAGGAATTATACAACCTTGTATAACTTGATGAGCCACAATTGCCTCATCTATCAGATGGAAATAATGATAATTTTGGACACTAGTGGGAACTCAAGATATGCCATTTTTCCCTGCCCTTCTTTTCAGATTAAATAGGATAACTGAAAAGAATTGCTTATCTGTGCAGTTTCAATGTTCAGGGTGCGTATAAACCCATCTTCTGTTCTTAAGTGGGGCTTTTTGGGTGGTTTTTGTTTTGTTTTCTTTAAAGTGCTATTTAAGAAATTAGAGGATACCAGAGTAAAACTAAGCCTCAAGGATTTCTTACTTCGACCTTCTCATTTTACCAGTTTGGAACAGTAACAGAGAGAATTTAAAGTGTCCCATTCTAGATAGTTGCTAGCGGATTCCAGCCTTTTAATGCAACTCTCTTTCCTCCCTAAATAGTTTCTAATATTATATTGACCCAATCAACTGCAAACAATTTGTGCTAGGCTGACTGGCCAATAATTCACCCCAGGTTGGAGCAACTTGCTATTATCCCAAGCCTTTGGTTTGCGGTACACTATTAACAAACCTTGGGTTTGCTCCTCTCTACCCCTGGGGCAGAACTTCTACTGTCCAGGTTTACATTTTTGAAATATATAACATTACTTAAAAAAACAAAACAAAACAGTAAGACTTCCGATTGCTTGATTGTTAGAGACTTTGACAACATTTCAAAGTTCATGCATAAGGGTTTAATTCTTACTAGTTTTATGACATTTAAAAAATTTTCTGACAAATATGTATATATCTCCTAAATTTGCTTGTGTGCAATGGAAATAAACAAAGAGATTTGCTCATTGCTCTATTAAATTCCAGAAACCCTCTTGGCCAAATGGATCCCAGTGAAACTAGTTCACTGGCTCAAGCTGAAAAAAGAGGCGGCAAGGCTGTGCATTACAAATCAGGCTTTTTAATGAAACCCTCATGGCTGGGGTTATTACCAGAGAGAAACATGCCAAAAGGGAAGATATTCTACAACTGTGTGCTGCTTAGCAAGCATAAAAACAGATACAGGTTAATTTTTAATTCTCTCCTGTATTCGTTTTATGCAAAAATACGTTATCAATTTTTCCCCAAGCAATTCAAATGTTTTTTAGTATTACACACGATCATGAACGTAAAACAATATCAGTTTGTTTATCAGCATACTGTAAGGAGTATTTCACATTTTCTGTATTTTGTCTTTTATGTAATCTCTTGTTTATCGTTACCATTTGTTCTATGTCATTCCTTACACTTACCGAAACAACAAAAGAAACTTTCCTTGTCTAGAAAAATACTTTTATGGCTCGCATGAACAAAAAGAATCAGAGTAGTAAAGAATGCACTCGGGAGGGGAAATCTTTTTCATTTTTTTCTGTATTGCAAGCTGGCTTTATTAAAATAGTTAAGAGATGTTGGAACACTAAAATATACACTACAGCTCAGAGTACATGGAGTAATGATTATAAAATTTTTGTATGTACCAATTTGCTTGTTATAATTCTGAAGTCTAACTGCAAATGCATTGAAATAAAAAAGTAATATATTGGCTTTTAGTTTGGTAAAAAAAACAAACAAACAAAAAAAACAACTCCTCGCTATGCTACCACATCTGCTTTGACCATTTTTTAAATATAATATTATATTGAATATAAAAATGTTAACTATTGTTTTCTATGGAGTTCACTTTATAAAACCTTGTTTTAAAATTTTAGAAGGCAAGAGCACTTATTTAAAAATGGTATACACATTCCAATGGCTATCTTTCCTAAGGATTTTCTTTGAAAACATCAGCCTTAAACAGATAGAAAAACTTGCCTTAATTCACTACTCCATGATTTCAAAGAATTGACATTTAGAACAAGAAGCTCACGAGTGAAGTTTCTTACCAAGCCATATGGAGTTATGAAAAATTCCATTCCTGAATCCCCATCCTTCAGCATCTTCCCATAGCAAGGCAAATAAATAAATTAAGATGATCATATCTCCAGTTGCAGAGATGTAGCAGTCTATCAGGAACTGCTCCCAGTAACTTCTCAAAGCAGCGGCTGAAATGCGACTGAAACATCTGGTTTCCACATCTTTTAAATAGTTTTTTTTGACGGTGAGGTCAGCAAGTACTCTCCAATGGCATTTTCCGCTGTAGAGTTACACAATTATCTCAGTGTCTGAAGCAAATCCTCTGACTCATTTGCATTGGCAACCCAAACCAAGGATATAGAATAATCATCGACATTTTAAAATTCACTTACTCAGAAAGGAGTTCATTTATTTTGTCAGTCACAAATGCTTTTCTGTTAGAAAGTTTGTGTAACTTGGTGTGGGTTTAGCAGTGATTAAAAGAAAGCCAATCGTAGGAATTTTAAGAGAAATCTGGAATGTTTTATTTACAGTGTCATTATGGGGCATGGGGTTTATGGTTAAGCATCAATCTTTAACTTGACCCTGGCAATGTTGCATTAGTTTTCCCTACCCCTTGTTTAGCTTGCATAGAAAATTTAAAACAAAAAGTGTGCACGGTTTTGCAAACCCTAACCTTACTCCAGTGCTGCAGGACTTCCCCATTCTCCGTCTGCCTTTGTTGGGGGTGGCATCTGTTTCAGTCTTTGGTTTGTTGTGGTCAGCAGGTAACTAAATATATCAGCTTCCAGAAACGCAGTTTAATTTCAGAGCCTTAGGACATCCCAGCAGTTTTGAGGTATTCCATTATTACACAAACTTCCCCAGGCTACAAATCCTTGGAGTGTTGGAAGAATGAAAGGCAGACTGCAATAAAATTAACAAAAATAGGACTCTAGCTTCCCCCAGACCACTCTAACTTTGAGGAAGATGATCAAAGTGACATGTAATAATTACCAGAGTAAAATGATCATATATTCAAATAACCCTTTTATATAGAGTAGTTGGGTAACATGTTGGGTTTTACTCCCACTGGCACTGATGCCAATAGCATTTCCTGTTGATGGGTGGTCATTTGTCAGCAGGTTTTCTTTTCTTTTTTTGACAGGCTGGAGTGCAGTGACACAATCATACCTCACTGGGACCTGGAAATCCTGGGCTCTGGTGATCCTCCTGCCTCAGCCGCCCAAGCAGCTGGGACTATGACCATGAGCCACCATGCCTGGTTGATTGCCTTTTATTGGCTATTCTTTGCTACTTTGCTTCTCTACTTTTAGTTGTAATCTGCTTCCCATTCACTCCTGTGATAGCGATCATTTCTCCCATGCTTTCTTAACCCCTCCAATGATATTGGACTCCTTTGAAAAAGCCAACTTTCCAGACATCCTTTTGTCTGAAATTGGCTTTGAATCTCTTAGGCATCTTTGAATTGAGCATCTCAGGCTTGTCCTGGTCTCATCCATTCTCAAAAAGATCAGTCGTGGGGATGTAGGCTGAGGGTACAGAGTTTACTGGACACTCCCTGAGGCATGCAGAGAGTCACTAGGGTTCACCATCACTATTTGGGACCTGTGGTAAATGAGAGTATCGTGGTCAAGTTCACAAATAGAGTTAGTGAACTGAAGTTTGGTAAAAAAGTGGCTGGGTGCAGTAGCTCATGCCTATAACGCTAGCACTCTGGGAGGCCAAGGTGGGAGGATTGCTTGAGCTCAGGAGTTTGAGATTAGCCTGAGCAAGAGCAAGTCTCCTGTCTCTACTAAAAATAGAAAATCTAGTCAGGCATAGAGGCACACGCTTGTAGTCCCAACTACTTGGAAAGCTGAGGCAAAGAGGATTGTAAAGCCCAAGAGTCTGAGGTTGCTGTGAACTATTATAACACTATAGCACTCTACCAAGGGTGACAGAATGAGTCTCTGTCTCAGAAAGAAAGAAAAGGAAGGAAGGGGAAAGGGAGAGAGAGAGAAAGAGAGAGAGAGAAAGAAAATCAATTAAAAAAGAAAAAATTGGCTCGGCGCCTGTGGCTCAAGTGGCTAAGGCGCCAGCCACATACACCTAAGGTGGCAGGTTTGAATCCAGCCTGGGCCAGCCAAAACAACAATGATGGCTGCAACCAAAAAAATAGCCGGGCATTGTGGCGGGCGCCTGTGGTCCCAGCTACTTGGGAGGCTGAGGCAGGAGACTTGCTTGAGCCCAGGAGTTGGAGGTTGCTGTGAGCAGTGATGCCACGGTACTCTACCCAGGGGGACAGCTTGAAGCTCTGTCTCAAAAAAAAAGAAAGAAAAAAAATTAAGTTTGGTACACAAGGTTACAGTCTTGTGGTCATTCTCTGTGGTCAGTGAGAATAGTTAGAAGGAACAAACCATGAGATTTATCTGAAAAGTGGAGTTATATGAGCATAATGAGTATTTTCATTTGTGGTTTAGGAAGTAAATATAACTTTCCTGTGCAATGGTATTGCAAAACTGTCAGAGCCTTCTGCATTCTCTGCCTGGTCACATTCTCTGGCTTTGTCCTTTCAAGCCCCTAATTTCCCTCTACTTCTCATTTATCAAAATTACTCTCAAGAAAGGCTTTGCAATTAATCTTTACTTAGGCCAAATACCTAGCAATGGACACCCTTCTATGTTCATTTGCATTTTAATGAAACTCCAAGTATAGCAGGGGGAGAATGTTCAACTTGCTTTAACAAGAAAATGTGATGAGTTTCTTTGATTAATTAAGCCAATCTGGAGTAGAAGATTTCTTTCTCCTCTCTCCCAACTCTCCTGAACCTTAATATGATGAGTAAGAATATTAATACTTCTTCTTACCTCTGCACAGTGTTTGAAAACCTAGTCGTCCTTACCATCAAGGAAATAGAAAACAATGCCTAATGGCATGGGCTCTGGTTTTCAGGAGGTATTCAATTCTATCGTGGAAAAAAAGTAATTTTTTTTTTTTTTTAGAAACAGAGTCTCATTTTGTCACCCTCAGTAGGGTGCTGTGGCGTCATAGCTCACAGCAACCTCCAGCTCTTGGGCTTAGGCAATTCTCTTGCCTTAGCCTCCCAAGTAGCTGGGACTACAGGCACCTGCCACAGTGCAACGCCTGGCTATATTTTTGTTGCAGTTTGGCCGGGGTCAGGATTGAACCCGCCACCGTTAGTATATGGGGCCGGTGCCCTACTCACTGAGCCACAGGCACGGCCCGGTAATGGGGTTTTTATAAGGCAAAGATACAGAGGGTAACCCAAGGGAGGACAAGAGAAAGATGAAAACAGAAGAAAGTGTTGACTATGAACTTAATCTTGGAAGTTACCTAAGGAGTAGGGAGCCTGTTTCCCCAGAACCCACCAATCAGGCTGAGTTGAGAGAGAAGATACACTGATAAAGTTCCTTTCAAGGGCTCAGAAGAACTTACCAGTCAAATGCTTTGCCTGCACAGAGGAATGTTCTCTCCTCTCCCAAACTCCTGATGTGTGGGTCAAGTGTGCAATGAGTCCTTTTGCACCTGCCACCCTGGCTGAAATCCTGGCAAGACTGTGCTTTTTGTAGAGGAAACTCCTTTTTTTTAAAAAAAGACATTCAAAAATTGCTCACATTGTCGCCTTCAGTATAGTACCATGGTGTTACAGCTCATAGCAAACTCCAACTCTTGGGCTTAAGTGATTCTCTTGGCTCAGCCTCCCAAGTAGCTGGGACTATAGGTGCCCACCACAGTGCCTGGTTATTTTTTGTTGTAGCTGTCATTGTTGTTTAGCTGGCCTGGGCTGGGTTCGAACCCGCCTGCCTTGGTGTATGTGGCTGGCACAGTAACCACTGTGCTACGGGCGCCGAGCCAGAAACTCCTCTTTCCATTGCTTTTCCCCAGTGTTCCAGTGCCCCTAAGCCTAAGCACTTTTTAGATACCATATGTCATGGTGGGGAGAATTACACATCTGCTCTGGGGTGAGACTGCACTGAACAAGCTCAAGATCTCCTGTGCTGACAACCTCGGTTTAGCAATGTCACTATTGTACAAACGTAACTAAAAAAAAAAGAAACTCTGTAGAATTTCAAACACTTGTCAGAGGTAGAGACGAGGTTTATTTTACTTATTTATGTATGAGACAGGGCTTTTGCTGTGTTGCCTAGGCTGGTCTTGAATGCCTGGATCTGTTTATACTGGATTTGAATAGTAAGACACTATGAGAAAAATGCAATTCTTTGGCAATTGAACGATAAATTATGTCCTTATGGATTATATTTTGTAATCTTGGAAAGAGAAGGAAAAAGCACAGTGAGGAGACAGGAACAGAAAAGGGTGGAGCTCGGTGAATTCCAAAATCTGTCCATAGAGGACATCTTTCACACGACTAGTAAGAGTGTGAAATAAGGTACAGGAAACACCCCTCCCCCACCCCAGGATCTCCGTCAGGATGAGGGTGGGAATAAACACAGTAGAAGAAGTAAAACCCATCCCTTCTGACTATGCTATAAAGTGACAGGAGAAAAATTCTTATGCATGGCATAGAATATGGTAAAAGAAATGTGAGGTATTCTGTCTGTTCATTCACTAATGAATGTAAACTTACAGTGAGCAGGACGGAGCCTGAATACAACACTGGGAAATCTTAGGGAATATGAAATATTTAGTTATTTTATGTCAAACAGCTTTTAGACAGTGAATATGAATCTATGCGTAACGCTGAACAGAATAATGTGGTTTTGAGTTTACGGGTAAACAGATGTCAGGAAAAGATCTGAAACTGACATTGGACTGCCCATCGTTATGTGGTGTGATAGTCATCGGTAATGGTCACCAAACACTCCCAGCTCTCTTCTGTCCAGCAACACAGTGGCATTGTACTGGTGGCCGTCTGTGGTTTGTGATGACCATGTTTTTGGCCAATAAAATGTGAAGGAAATTATGTATGTCATCTCAGATCTGAGGATTGATTGCTAATATTTCTGAACTCTTTTTTTTTTTTTTTGCCCAAGGCCAGGTTTGAATCCACCACCTCTGGTATATGGGGCTGGCATCCTACTCCTTGAGCCACAGGCGCTGCCCTTACTTCTGAATTCTTTTTTTCTGGCGTGGAGGGAAACATTTGTGATGGTGGCTGC